TTGTTTCTGTTAATTTACACATAATATTTCACATATTAAAGTATTTTTATTCAAAAGTTACATAATATATACTATAATAAAAGAAAACTATTAAAAAATACATAAAATTTAGACTTTTTAGTGCGTGTGAACTTTATTATGACAAACGGGGTATTGTAGTTTATAAAACTAAACCAAGTTCACCTTGTAAATAAACAAATTTACAGTATAAACAAAACCACACCTAATAAAATAAAAATCAACAAAAAAATAAAACGTACATGAATTTCAAAATATTTTGTTATGGTTTTGGCATTTTCTGCACCATCTGTAGGCCCAGGTCTTTTTTCATACATATTATAAACTTTACTTCTTGTTTTTGAGAACAAATTTTCTCCAACGAATTGTATGGTCCTTTCCAACATAACAGGGAACTTCATCATCGTCGTAACTTCCTAAAACTTTCTCAGCAACATCATCCTCTCCGGCATCTTCTTCTGAATCAGTATCGTGAACATTTGAGATGTGGGTATACAAACGACTACTGAAAATAAGCTGGGTCGACAGAGTTAAAAATGAGGAGGTCCTTAGACGACTGAACCAAACAATACAACTGGTCAATATAATAAAGAAACGCAAGCTGGAATACTTCGGTCACATTATGAGACACGCTGAAAAATATGTTTTTTACATCTGATCATTCAGGGAAAGATCCAAGGTAATTGTGGTCCTGGTAGAAGAAGAACATCATGTTTGAAAAATCTACGTCAATGATATGGAAAATCAACTACATCGTTATTTAGAGCTGCTGTCAATAAAGTCACGATAGCGAATATGGTAGCCAACGTGATATCCAACGATCGATAACGGTCATGGAACTAGAAGAAGAAAAAGAAGATACTATCTTGTCATTTATAGTCTGATATATAGCGTGATATCCCACGCGAGTACTGCCGGGTTAATTACGACGAAAAGATCGCCAAGTGCAGAGATCTTTATAAGACAATGCAGAAAGCTGTACTACTCTCATCGTCCAGATGTCAACCAAAACACAAACTTTTTCAAATAGAGGAAAAAATAATAAAACATAGAATACATATATAAATTCCATCCACAATGATAAAGGTTGCAGAGAAAACGTTGGTATTTTCGTTACTCTAATATTCACGAATGTCTGTTTTACTGAATTATTTTAATTATAAAACGACTTTAAGCAGTTATGTTATCCTATATTATGTTATTTGTACATAATAGATGTAAATTAATGTAATTTCACTTTTCAGCTAAATATAAGAAGTGTAAATATTAATAAGAAAGTTAAAGATGTTTCGCACATATTCATATTTACATTAGCAGACTTGAATTCAAATTGAATTTGATGACGAAATACTTTCCATTTTTAAAGGTGTTTGAAGATTATTAAAGGTGCAGAGTAAAATCTAAACGTCGTGTCGTCTATAAGAGCGTGATTCATAAAAGAATTTTTAGGAATACTCTATTATTTCGTGATCCATGTCTGTAAATCTTATGATAACTGAAAGAGCTGTCTCTGAAGATCATCTTCTGATTCGGCAATAACTGCTGCATCATCTGCGTGGACACACCATACCAATTCTTTTATTGTCCATTCTATATCCGAGATTGAGAGATGTTACTTTATTTATAATTTTGCCAATGAGTAGGTCAAACAAGAATGGGCTTAAACTGCCGCCTTGTCTAATTCTTTCCGATGTTGGAATATTTTCAGTGAATTGGTCTCCTACTCTAAATTTGGTTACATTGTTGTTATTTAGGTTATGGACTATCTGTGTTATGTTGGTCGGTGTTTTATTTTCTATTATTATATTTAGAATGTCTCCCAAGCAAACCCTGTTAAACGCATCAATGAAGCAAATATACGCTGGCATGCCCAACTCTATAGATTTTTCTTTTATTTGTTTTATTATGAATACTGCATCTGTTATGGATTGCATTTGGATTTCCACGTGTTATTTACATGTGGAAATCCCCTCAAGATAGACATCAAGTCAGAATAGTACGGAATCAAATAGACTACATCCTAATAAACCACCGATTCCGAAATAATATTAAAGATGTAAAAACTTACCCTGGCGCTGACATAAACTCAAATCACAATTTACTCTGCTTTAAAGTACAAATTAAATTAAAGAAATTAACAAAGCCAACTAAGCCTTGTAAGATATATCTCGACCCCCTGAAAAACTCTCAAACGCGCAAACACATATCACATCAGATAAATAGTAAAATACACATAATATCAAATATACCAAACGAAAACAGAACCATTAACGAATGCTGGTATGACATTCAAAACTCGATTTTAGAGAACATACAGAGAGTCTTTGAAAACACCTACCATGTTGGCAAAAAATGAGTGGATGACACAAGAAATTCTAGACCTGATGGAAGTTCGACGGCAACACAAAAATAGAAATATTTGCAATCATAAATCAATAAAGGCATAAAAATAAAAATTAAGCAAGCCAAAGATTCCTGGCTTGGAAATTTATGTAAAGAAATAGAAGACCTCCAAAAAAAGCATGACAGTTTCAACATCTACAAGAAACTTACATATACTGCCGGAATTAGAAAACAGAAAAATGCTCACATACTAAAAAGTGCGGACGGAAAAATTTGTGATCACAAACAACAGTGCAAAGAATGGGAGAGATACATCACTGAACTTTTTGACGATGCTTCTAGAAAAAATGCTCCAAATACTGCCTCTGACAACCAGTTAGACAGAGATCCCAGTTTACTGAATTCGGAAGTCAAAAAGGCAAACCAGCAAGCCAAAAACAATAAAGCACCTCGACCAGATCAAATCCCTGCTGAGCTACTTAAACTTTTGGATGAGGAAAGCATTGCCTGCTTAACCACTTTCTTCAACAAAATTTACAACGAAGCAAAAATACCAGATGATTGGTTAGAGTCACTGTTTATAACATTACCAAAGAAAAGCAGACCCACCAAATGCAGCGATTTTAGACTAATCAATTTGATGAGTCACACACTGAAGATACTCTTACGAATTATACAAAACCGAGTATTCCTTCTATGCGAAAGTATGATGGGTGATAAGCAATTTGGATTTAGAAACAGTCTAGGAACTAGACAGGCACTATTCTGTATGCGCGTTCTATTACAAAAAAGTCGTGAATTCCGAAAGAATGTTTTTGTTTGTTTCATCGGACTTCGAGAAGGCGTTCGACAGAGTACAATACGATACACTTTTCGATTGTATACGGGCAGCAGGACTTGACCACTATGATATAAGACTGCTGAAATACTTATATTACAATCAAGTAGCCTCTATCCAAATTGGAGACAGTCCAACTGAAAAAACTATCCATCAAACGTGGAGTACGGCAGGGTTGTATTTTGTCACCCACTCTTTTTAATCTGTACTCTGAAGAAATCTTTAGGGAGGCTTTGGATGACAGGCAAGAGGTATTAAGACTAGGTGGATAAGTAATCAACAATATTACATACGCTGACGATACAGCCATTCTTGCAGAAAATTTACAACATCTCCAAGCATTACTACATCTAGTCAGTGAAGCAAGCTATCGAAGTGGATGGCAGTTGGAAAGATCAGTATAGATCGAAAAGATCGAAAGGGTAAATCATTTCAAATACTTTGGCAGCTGGTTAATTGTGACTCTGATGAAGAGATAATAACCAGGATTGAAATATCACGTAAGGCTTTTATGACCTGGAAACCAGTTTTATGCAATAGAAACCTGTCGATAAATATTCGTAAGAAAGTCCTGAAATGTTATGTGTATGGTTGTGAGGCATGGAATGTTAAAAACCACAATGCTAAACAAGTTAGAAGCATTCGAATAGTGGTGCTATAGACGAATCCTAAAGATATCGTGGGTTTCACACACTTCCAATGAAGATGTTCTTCAAATGATCAATTCAGAACGTCTGCTCATAAACACCATAAAGAGGAGAAAAACAGAATACTTCTGCCATATAATTAGAGGACCTAAATACCATCTACTTCGCCTTATAATACAAGGAAAAGTGGAAGGAAAGAGATGGATTGGTCGAAAGAAACTTTCATGGCTGCGTAATATTAGACAATGGTGTGGTTCCACAGTAGAAGAATTATTTCGCGCAGCAGCCGACAAAAAAAGGTTTCAGGAAATTGTAAACATGATGCCGGCCAACGTCTGAATACGGACACGGTACCCAAAGAAGAAGAAGCATCTGTTATAGACCGCCCTCTTGTAAAACCTTGTTGTTCTTCAGCATTATTGATTTGCCTTTCCGATTTGTCATTCAGAATACTCGTGAAAAGTTTCATCAATGTACTTAAGAGGGTTAAGTGGAACTGGGCAGAAAGAACCACGACGCTTAAGTGGAACTGGGCAGGGCACTTAGCCAGAACACAAGATGGACGGTGGACAAGACGTATTATGGAATGGAGGCCCAGAAATTATAAAAGAAGCCGAGGACGACCACCGACTAGATGGACCGATGACATTAAACGTGTAGCAGGAAACTGGCTACAAGCGGCCCAGTGTAGAGAACACTGGAAAGAACTGAGGGAGGCCTATGTCAAGCAGTGGACGCGATTGGCTGATTGATGATTGATGATGACTTAAGAGGGTTATTCCTCTGTAGTTTTTGTGGGCAAGTTTTTTGTCCTTTATTAAATATGGGGATTGTGATGCTTTTATGCCATTCCTCTGGTGTTTCTGTCTCGTTTAAGATTTTATTAAATAGTTGTGACAGTTTACTAATTAAAACCAAACAAATAATGTTGTTAGCAATCTTAAAAAGATTTATTTAAGATACACTTTTTTTATCATTTTTCGTAGACCTTACCTTTTATTACTTTATCATAATCTTTTTTAATTTACTTTTCTCTACTTTCTTTGTTTTCTCTGTAATCACTGTATAATAAAAACAATACGGTCATATATGTATTTTAACTGCCAAAAAGGTAAAAAGAAAGCACAAAGAAATTAAATGAAAATTTTCATGTTGTTTGTTGTCGATATTTCCCTGTATTTTCCGATTTTCCAATAATGTGATAAGATCCCCACTGAAGTTGTTTCTTCATGCCTACTGGTCACGTATAAAACTATCTTAATAAGGTACTTGAAGACTTTCTTCTGCAGCCATACCCACTTGCGCTCTCGATAGGGTTACGGTCATGTTACAGTGTAACACTCAGTGAGATGTGGTAGTGACTGGCGACATTCTCTTTGTGTTAGTTTGTTATTTCTGTGATTGTGCCGCTTAATTTTACCTTTTGGATATAACGCACCAGAGAAAATGGTAGGTACTCGACTCATTTGTAAAGGAAGCTTATGCCAATATTATATAATTGTTGTACAACTGTTATTATACTAATTATTTTTCACCTATTTTGCTTAAATTAAAATTACCTCATTCATATTTAATTGCCATAATTTTTTATACTTAAATAATTCTACCTTATTTAATTATTAATAAGAAATTATACACTGTTGGAAAAATTACGATCTGGTCTGTTCCAATATAGAAATAAATTACAATTTGTAAAATAAAATTTATTAAACCATTCCAAAATTCCAGATCGGTTATTTTGAAAATTTTAAGACTTTTTAAAACTTTACTTAAAATCAAAAATAGTTGTTTAATTTAAAAATCGCATTTCAAAAACAGTTTTGCATTTAAACCTCAAAATATATTAAAAAATATTTTGAAATTTGAGACTTCTTCCCAACGATACTTCAAAAATGCCAAAAAGACGCTATTTAAAACTTATTGGCATTGAAACTTTTACTGCTAATAATATTTATTAAAACTTAATCACACTGACCGGCAAAAAAAGTGGCCAAGCCTAGACATTTCTAAAAATTTATTTAATTATAAAGCTACAAAAGAAAATAGTGTGATATGGAAACAAATTACAAACAATAAAAATTTGGCGTGGACTTATACAAAATTTTCTAATATCTGGTCTTCTTCTTAGTCGTCAACCTGATGCAGGTATCGTGATATCATGAAGCTATTAGCTAAATTTCCCAATGTTCCTCCACGTTTTTCTATCTTCTGCCATTCTAGCACATTCTGACAATGGTGCGCCAATGGTAGCAACAATATGGTCCGTGTATCGTGTGGGAGATCTACCTCTATTTCTTCTGCCTTCTACTTTTCCCTGGATGGTAAGTTTTTCAAGACCATTTCTTCGAAGCACATCTCCAAAATTTGTGTTCTTAGTCTTTTCTTTATGTTTAGCCGGTCCAGTATGGATTCATTTGTTCTTCGGGCCACCCATGGTATTCTCAGCATTCGTCTCCAGCAGTACATCTCAAATACATCTATGTTCTTTTTGTCTTTCTCAGTAAGGGTCCAGCATTCCGATGCATATGTAAAAACTGGAAAAACTAGACTTCTTACTAGTCTCATTTTTGTATCGGTAGTTATTTCATGGCTTTTCCAAATTTTTGTTAATTCTGCCATAGCGCTTTCTGCGATTGCTGACCGCCGCTTTATTTCTTCAGTACAGCCTCCTTTGTTGGTTATTAATGAGCCCAGATACACAAATTTATCTACAACAGCGATATTGTTTATCATGACCAGATGATTTTGATTGTTGTTAGCTCTGTCAAAATCATGATTCTCGTTTTATCTCTGTTTATTTTAAGGCCCATCGTTAAGCTTACGTCTTCTATCCGTTGTAGCAGGTGAATAAATTCAACTTCAGAACTAGCGAGGATAGTAGTATCATCTGCATATCTCAAGTTGCAAATCTTCTTCCCGCCAATGGTGATGCCACCGTTCCAGTCCTCAGTAGCTTTCCGCATTATCCATTCACCATAGATGTTAAATAGAATTGGGCTTACTATGCAGCCTTGTCTCACGCCCTTTGTGACCCTGAAACTATCGGTTAGTTCCCCATTTATTCTAACTCTGGCATAATTTTTATTGTACAGGCTTTTAATTAGCAATATCAGATGATTGGGGACTCCCATTTCAGACAAAACCTGTCACATTTTACTCCAGTTGACCAAATCGAAAGCTTTACTATAATCTATGAAGCACAAATATGTTGTGATGTTGAATTCTCTGGATTTTTCTACAATCTGCCGTATGTTTAAAATTTGTTCTCTAGTACCACGTCCGGGGACGAAACCTGCGCTTTAGGTAAAAAGGGCTTTATCCTCTCTAGAATTATGTGTAAAAGTATCTTACTGCAATGCATAATTAGAGCAATTGTGCGATAGTTGCTACATAAATCTTTCGCTCCCTTTTTATGTGTGGGATATCTGGTATTATGTCCTTAAACATCAATAACCGTTTGCATACGATTTGGAAGGGAAAGGAAAAAATTTTATATAAAAACTTAAGGAATAAGTTCATATTCTTCTCGAAGCATGTTTTGAAGTTCTGCAAGACTTTCTGGCTGACCTGGTTGACTTATAACCCTGCGATGAAGTTCATCTCAAAGATGTTCGATGATATTCAGATCGGGACTGCAGACTGGCCAGTTTAGAGTCTTAATTAGTCAGTCAAGTAATATGACATGATCCTATGCATTCGTGCATTATCTGTATAAAGACGAAATTGTCCCTAATAAAATAACCAAATGAAGCTACTGCTTCTGCCAAAACATCCTCTATATACCAGTGAGCATTAAGGGGGCTATTGATGAAAATAATTTCAGTTCTAGCTTCAAATGAGATTCCAGCCCAAACCATGACAACACCACCGCCAAACTGTCTCCTCTGGGACATACAAGCTTGGGCCCATCTTTCATTTCATCGTCTCCAAACCCTCTCTCGGCTATCGCCAGACTTCAAACAGAACCATGATTCATCAGTAAAGAACATTTAGCTATAATCCTGTATATCCCAGTGTTAATGTTATTTAATCGATTCCTACAGTGTCTGGGTTGTAATTCGGAAACAATAGCCTGCCTGCTTGCTACTAGCCCTCTTTCATTGAGGCGTTTCGCCTCAAGAAATTTCCATTTTAAAACTCCTGCAGATGGTTTCTTCAGCAATTGCAGTGGAATGGCGATTTCTTAAAAGTTCCGTCACAATAAAACGATCATCTCTTTGCGAAGTAACTCTTCTACGACCGGATCATGCGCTTGATATCATCCATGCATCTAGTCGGTGGTCGTCCTCTGCCTTGATATGCCTCTTGCCTTGGTCGCCATTCCAGAATCTTTTTGGTCCATCTGTCATCCGTTAATCTTGCAACATGTTCGGCCCAAACCCATTTAGCCCTGGCTATTTTTTCAACTGCATCTGTGACTCCTGTTCTTCTTCTTATTTCTAGGTTTGGTACTTTATCTCTGATGGTAATACCTAATATTGATCTTTCCATAACGCGTTGTGTAACTCTTATTTTATTTATTGTTCTTTTTGTCAGAGTCAGTGTTTCTGCACCATATGTAAGAACCGGTAAAACGCACTGGTTAAAAACCTTTCTTTTTAAACAAACTGGGATACTAGATTTGAAAATGTTATTCAATCTACCAAAGGCAGCCCATGTGAGGCATATCCTTCTTTGTATTTCAGTTGTCTGATTATCTCGGCCTAGGCGAATCTCATGCTCTTGATATTTGTAAGCTATTACTTGGTCGATACTATGGCTCTCAATCAGAATTTTATCGCTGACTACAAGGTTGGTCATAAATTTTGTTTTTGAGGTGTTAATTTTAAGACCAATTGTTGTTGACACTTTATAGAGCGTGTGCAGCATTTTTGTAGCTTTATCAACTCTATTAAATATTAAAACGATGTCATCGGCAAATCTTAGGTGGTTCAGCATACAAGATCGCAAAATATTTAATTTGAGATGCAATATGAAACAGTGGATAAAACTTTCAATGAAATTTTATATTCGGAAATTTATAGAGTGGTCACTTTTTTGCTGCTCACTGTAAATTAACTAAATCAACATTTTCGTTCTTATTATATTTTTCCTAGAATTTGAAAAATTATTTTCAAATTTTTTATAATAATTTGTTGTTAGATTGGTTATTAGTATTAATAATAACTAATCCATGTGTAATTAATAAAATAAAAACTTTAGTTAATGTAGCTAAAATGTAGTTTAAAAAACTTGTTTTTGTTTTCAATAAGACGTTTTGCACAAACTCAGTGGAAATAATTGGATTTGCATATAAAATGTTATGTATAAAAATAAAGGAACAATGTTTTTCCGAATAAACTTCTATTTTTGTAAAATAATAATATAGGCCTTATCTAAGTGACAAAAATTGTTATAAATAGCTAGTTTTTATTGTGGAAGACACAGCGCTCATCGTCGAGACAGTCACTCATTATTATTTCCTGCTCCTCATTAGCAGCTGCTGTAGTGGATTCATCAAAAACCAAACTTTTGTACCAACCAAAAATTTGGTTTTTTCAAAAGTTTATTAACATCTTTGTATTTTCTTTTGATAACACATGAGAAAATGGGAGTTCTTCCAGCCTCACTTGTCTAAGATTATTTTTGCCTTTCTTTCTCAAAGATATAAACGACTCTTTTTCTTTATAGTTGTCTCTTACCAACACAATATTTTTGTAAAACTTCCCTTTTCCTTTTTTTTCTTCTCCTTCTTCTTTTTATAGAGACATGACTCTGATTGTTTTTCAATGTGCCTCCAATAAGTTGTCATTCCATCGTTTTCGTGGTCTTCCTACTGATCGTCTTCCTATTGAGGAATCGTCTCTTGATGTCTTTACTACTCTATTTGTTGTCATTCGGCTAATATTATCGTTCCATTCTACTATTCTATTTCTAACCCAGTTTTTGATGTTCTTCAAATTGCATCTATGTCGTATACCTGTTCTTCTAGCTCTGTCCCATAGTGTCTTATCATAAATTTTTCTAAGCGTTTTGATCTTTGCTATTTCCAACATCCTTTTTGTTCTCTCTGTGTCAGGTCTTGTTTCTACCGCGTATGTCATTATTGGTCTGATGACTGTTTTGTAAATTCTTCCTTTCGTTTCTTTTCCGATATTTCAATTACTTTATATTGTTTTATTTAGGCTTATTAATATTCACTTGATCTTTCACTTTGGTTTCGAGCTTTCCATAGCTAGATAATGTAACGCCTAGATATTTAAACTCCATCATTTGTTCTATTATCTGACCTTCCAGCTAAAATTTACATCTTAGTAAATTTGCTGTTGTATCCATGCATTTGTTGTATATATATATAATATATATATATATATATATATATATATATATATATATATATATATATATATATATATAATCGAACACCTCTCTACCCTAAGGTGTGAGGTAAATACAATACAATAATACAA